TCAACAATCAAGAGACCTGAACAGGCCTCTTTTCCGCCAGTCTGCTATTTTGTCTCTCTGCTCTGTCGTCTGTCTGCTCTGTCGTCTGTCGGTTGTGTTGTCCTAGTGCGAAAATGTCTGTCGCACTGTGCAGAACTCGGCCCAAGATGCGAGACACTTTTGACCAGGTCCTTGAGGATCCAGAAAGAACCCACTAGCCAATCCTGCAGATCCAGAAGCCACGACCGTGTATGATAAGGGTCCACCGGAGCCCTCGGATTCGAGCTCCTCTTCTGGTTCGGATTCTTCGATCGAGTGAATTATTTGTCGTCTTCGTCTGTAGCAAGATAGCAGCGCGTAGTGAACTCCGTACTCATTTGAATGGAAGTCTGGACTCGTCAGATCTGCTCCGGAAATATGGTTGCTAATTTTGTTGCTCACTTCGCCTCAAATGTTACTGTTACATGTTACTGTTAGCAGACTCTGATGATCTGAGCGCCAGGGAGTCTTGTTTGGGTCTTTCAGGTTTAGTAAAGGAACAATTCAAGTTTGACTCGACTGAAGAAGAATGCGAGGTATCCCTTGTGTCGATATCGTGTCCCTTGTGGGGCGCCAAAATGTGCTCTCAATCTCCGTAAGATTAATTTGAAGTCGAAAAGAATCAAGAATAAATTCGTATTATCGGCAATATAAATTTGTCGGCAATTTTGATAATTTTCATCCAAAAGCATAAGCTCATATAACACCAATATTCCGCTTCAAAAAACAAATGGGCACAAGCTAGCCACAAGAACCGGTCGGTAAGGTCCTTGAGACAAATTGCTCTTTTTGAGAACCAAATTAGAACAACAAACAGTTAAAATAGGATATAACCCCCTTTTTTAGTATTTTAAAACATTGGCAGGTGTGGGACTCGAACCTACGTCAACTGTCATGTCTCTATAGTCGGCGTTACGTTTCTTTAGCTTAGGCCGCTCGGCTAACTGTTCTTATTTGATATGCATCTTTACTCTGTTTTATATTTGCGTTGCAACACATACAATTTGATGTAGAGTTTATGGAAAAAATCCTATCTACAATTTTCATAGAAGATTGTAAAAATTATTATCAGTTGGTATAAAACTCAAGCAAAACAAATTAAGTAATTTCGGCATCGAAAAAAAAATTAAACAAAAAATGTTTATCATAAATTTTTATAGGAAAGATACAAATTGGGTTTAAAAAAATGTTTACCCTTTTTTTATCCCTTTTTATTCTACGTATTGGTCTTAGACTTCGCCATGTATCCAGATGTAAGTTTTGTAAAATTAAAAAGTAATTAAAAAAAACCCCATAAACGAAATTTCCCATAGAATATGATAGATTGTAAACTAAGTTAGAGGCAACGAAATTTCCCATAAGCTAAGATAGAGAATATATTAAATAAAATAGGGCATTCAGTTATTAAGACAGGGTATAGGGTATAGAGTCTGTAATGTATCAAGATAGGGACTGATAGACTGTGGTATCATTGTAACAGAATGGTAACAATGTTAGTTTTTTCTTGTTTTTGTGAAAAAATCTCAATTTTTTAAGGAAAGTGTTAGTGCCATACCTAATTGTTACCAATCTATGGTTGTTTTACTAAGTAGCAATGCTTAAGATCTAGAAAACTATGCTTCGAGATAGTATAACTCAGATGGTAAATTTCGAAAAAAAATCGATTTTTTCCTGAAACTCAAGCGCGGCGTTAAGCAGGTTAATCAAATTAAATTGTTGAATAAAGTATAATTACTGAAAAAATTACCAATTTACTGTAATAATTAACTGATTATGTTTATATATCTTTGTACATGAAAAATTCTGTGCATCCAAGGTTCGTTCTGCTCACAAAAATAAATTAAATGTTGCCATTACAATTTCCATTCGCATTTTTTGCCTTTCTTTTTTTTCTGACGACACAGACTGAATTTTATGACAAAACAAGAAAAAATTTGTTTTAAAGTCCGATTACATGATTTTAGCAAAATTATATGAGATCTGTATAATTAGCATTTATTTTTTCCTATCCTAGACTTAGTTTATAAAACTTTTTGACTAGCACTTTTTGGTCTATAGAGGTCATCTCGGGGGCTCAATGTGAGTTGTGCGTGTGTTTGTGAAAAACAACTCAAACTATTTTAAAAAAACATATTTGGGGATTAAGCGTGCGTGTGTGTGTGTGTGTTGCGTGTGTGATGGGTAAAAATAGATATTTGGAATCTAGTTTGTGATTTAGGTTTTTGCAAAGTCCTAAATGCTCATTATATACTTTTTTATATAATATTTTAAACAGAAGTTTAAATTGATGTACTTTTCACTTCCAAATTTTAATATAAAATGCTAGTCTTACAATTTCTTTAATTTGTAATTGTAAGACTAGCATTGTTCTGAAAAAAAATTTTTTTTCATAAAATAAAAAGATCTAAATTTAGTTCAGATGTCCATGAACGGTAAAAAAAAATCCATAATTAACTTCATGAACGAAGAAAATGCCTGCAAATATCAATTATCAATTTTTAAACATTTAAAGGGCAGGTCCTTTTTTGCGTGTTTTTATTGTAATTTTATCTTTGTGCGCAAACAGTTTGAAATTTTTATTCACAAGAAAAGTATACACTTACACAAAAATTGATGAAAAACTGGAGAAAAAAAACCTATTTACAAATACATACATTTTGTATTTATTGAATGTATGTATTTTTATCTGCGCATTATTTATAGTTTATGGCAAGGCTAGTTAATTAGGGTACGGCGAATTGTACGGTTCATCCATTATCATTTTACGATTTAAGAAAACATGAAAGCATAAAAAATAGTTAAATCTGACTACTGAAATTCGTATATATCTATAAAAATCTATAAAAATAGTAGCATATTAAAAGCCAGTAAAATGAAAGCAGTGTTTATAGAGACGAAGAACCAATCAGTCGAAAAATGAACCACCTTATCAACGAGCACAATTTTACGTCTAGCTTATAAACGTTTATAGTTTATAAATAAATACGACACGCGAAAAAAAACTGAAGAAAAAATAAATCTAAAGACTATAGTTTTTTTGTCAGTAGCATGTTTTAGTCTGATGAGTTGAACCTAAACGTTTAAGACCATTGTGATTTATTTTTTACTAGTTAGGATTTCACCAGTTTAGGTTTGACGACAGTTAGGTTGATTGAACATCTGGTCTCGAAAATGGGGTTGGGGGAATGAAAGAAAGAGTCAAGGATGACCCGCGTCATTCTTATCTCTTTTTTAATACCATCCGAGAGTATTATTGAAAATTTGAAGCTCCATGCCCCGGGGACCAAAATCGATCACCGGGATGAAAAGTGAATCGGGGAAGAAATAATTTGAAGGAGGAAGGGGAAATTCCGCTGCTGGCTATGGGAGGGGAGCAAGACAAAATCAGGTCGGGGAAGAAATAACAAAAACTAATTAGACTCTATAGATCGCGATCACTTCATTTTCATCACACAGGTTGTATTTTTTTTTACTGGAATCACGCCAATTTTTTCCGTTGGAACTTCTTTGACCACCGCTAGTATAGTACACAAGAGATTTTTTATACTGAAGAAGGGGGGGGGGGGGGGCAGGGGGAGGCTCGGGGGAGTTCCGTTTTTTGAACTAATTTTTTTTTAATTTTCTTGAATGATTATAATCATTCAAGAAAATTAAAAAAAAATAGTATATAGTTCTATAGAGCCATGCAATGAAAAAGCCCGTGACAGATTGAAATTTTGTATTGCCAAAGTTGCTAAAGCTATTTTTATTCTGGATTCAGGATAAATCTGGAAGCAATTATTCAATTCTTATTTCCGAAGTTGTTATTGACCTTAATTTTGATTAGGTCGACCAGATAGATTTTCCAAGGTATCCCCATAAACCATAAAACCGTTTTTGACTCAAGCATAATTTTCAAAAAGCAGGCCAAAAATGGCGTTTTTCTACTTTTAGAAATTTTTGAACAAAAAATTGCGTGGTGGAACGAAAATGGATTTCCTAAATTGGGTGGCAAAGATGTCATAAAACGATCCCCCCCCCCCCCCCCGCTTTTTTTCTTTTTCATTTGCAGGTGAAGGAGTTGTAATTATCCTAAATTCAATTCTCTGCGTCCAAACCTAAGTGCAAATCTTAAACACTTACTAAGTAACATTTCACAAAACAGTTAGAGAGAACATTATTCAAGTTGAAAAATAAAGTTTTACTAAATTTTTAATCAAATTTTACAAATTATTGAACAATTTTGTTGAATTTTGGATAGTAAAATTATTTGCATTTGAGAGCGAAAATGATGAATCTGTAAACAATATTTATATACTGAAATTAACTTTGGCTTCAAGTTCCAATCAGTTACAGACGAACTCTAACTAATCTTGAACTCATTCGCAGCTAATCAAACTCTGAAAAATGGATAAAATTAACGTCATTTTATAATATCAAATCAGGCGCGGATCTTTTATCAGTTGTTTTATATTATCGAAGTTTAACAGTCAAAATGGGTCCAGACGTATGGTTTTTCTTCGTTTTATAAAATTCATTAACAAAATTATATTTTAATTTCTATATAAAAATTCATCCGCCAAAGGCCAAGTTTTAAAATCAAGAGAAATTTGTTGAGCTCTGTCATTAAGTATTTCTTCATGCTTCTAGTTTTTAGTACGAATTGTGGTAATTTTTTTTTTAAATTTAAAGTTATGATAAGTTTAAAAACTTTTATAACTTCTGTAAATCCGCTCCTGCTTTTAAGATCAATTTTTATAGCTCAAATTATAACTTAGTTGGGATCTCTTTAACGCCCCCCCCCCCCGTGGTATCTAGCAACCGCGATTGCCACCCCCAAAGAACTAATTCAACGGTTAAAAATTGGTTAACATTAAATCTAGTTACGAATCCCCTCATGTTGCAAATCAGCTCGAAAACGCCAAAATTTTGAAAACTTTTGAGCCGAAAAACCAAAAAAAAAATTTGAACCAAAAAACCAAAAAAACCTACCCTTACTCAAAATTAACATATAAGGGGGGGGGGTAGTTAGAGAGATAGGTTAATTGTTATAAAGGATGAAATAGTTAATGGTGTGTTGTGTTGTTTCCATTCACACGTCCACTACACTTCCGTCTGGGGAGCCGAGGCGTCTCTGATATGTGTTGCTGCTGCCGTAATGGGCCGGCTCTGTCGGGGGGTATTGGGGAGCAGTGATCACCTTTTAAATCACAACCGAACACCAAATGTTAACAGTCTTGAACAGGGGTGTGGAAATGAACTGTATATCAAAATATACTCAATAAATATATTTAATTTTGATTATTTTCATCCTTTAAAAAATAAGGTTTTTTTTCGGCCAAGTGTTGGCCAAGTGTGCCTGTTGATTGGACAGGGGTGTGAAAAGGAACTTAAAAAACATTGTCATTAAATATTTCTAATTGCTTTATTTTCATCATTTAAAAAGATAATTTTATTTCTTTCGGTCAATTGTTTTTCGGCCAATGATCGCCCTCACCGAAGTTTCTCCTATTGTTTTCTATTATCTAGGGATTTTATGTTCGAACAAGAAATTAATCTGTTAATAATCAATTACCTGATGATTTTGTGGTCGCACAGTAAAATAATAGAATATATGCTGAAAAAATCCATGATAATACTCTATTTTTATGTCGATTATGTTGGAATTGCAACCTATTATAATTCCACTATAATTGATATAAAGTTAGAAAAATGTGCGACAACGTTTTTTAAAAACTTCCAGTTGCCTGAGCTTAAAAAATGAGGAAAAACAGCAAAGTAACCCTGGATTACTAGACAACTAAACAACCCTTCTATAAAATGGGATGAGTTGCTGGCTTATGTCGCCATGTATTGCATTAAATGTTTTGGAACTAAAACTCGTCGGAAGTTTTTTTAAGTTTCTTCAAAAATTTGAAACTTTTTACTGATGACTTTCAATTTTTTCATGTTCTCAATGCTCAATTTTTAAAGCTCTCGCTGTTACAATGAACTGCTTGTTTATGTCTCAATGTATTGCCTTAAATTGTTTTGGAACTGAAAACATCGGGAATTTTTTTATGACGTTTCCAGCAAAAGTTTTTTTTTTTTTACAGATGATTTATTTTATTTCACAGTCTCAATTATTGTCTCCATTATTGTTGCTCTTATTTTCAAATCTTGAATTTAAAAAAATCTTGCTTTTAATGAGCAATGCTTTTAATAGGTTTTTCGGAGATTCAATAAACACAATAAAAAAGTTTTTATGGCAAAAAATATATAATATCTTGAGATTTTATGGAGAGAAAACTAGAGTTTAGTGAAATTATAAAGCGATATAATCGATGCAAAAATAATCCATTTTCCAGCTATTATTATAAAAAATGTTGCCTAACTTGGTGACACTTTATCGGTTACAATGGCATCATTTTTGGCAAAATTTTCTCAATTTAAACTATTGTTATCCGAGAAACTTCGTGCAGGCCAACAATATGGTTGAACAAATTCGTTAATTTTCTCAAAAGACAATTAAATAAAGGTTTTTCTTATTGCTAATTTGAAGTGAACTTACGCCGATATTTCATCTTTGCAGTTAAAATTTACTGGAAAAGCCCAATGCTTTTAGTCGTCTAGCCAAGTGTAGCAATTGTAACAATTCATGGGGGTGAATTTCAAAAAATTTGTTGATGTTTTTCAAGATCGGAAAATTGACTTTACGAGCTTTCTCAAAATACAATCAAGACGCTGATGTGAAAAATTTTTGCTTTGCAGTCACATCATTGAAAAATTGTCGCAAAAATTCTTTTTTTTGACAGTTTTCAAAATTTTTTTGACAAGACTCGTTTTTTTTGGCGTGTGCCGCATTCAAAATAAGCATATATTGGTGCCCAACGTGCCTTTAGAAAATCTTTACGGTAAGCGGCCGAATATGGATGTCTTAAAATAATATCAAAGGAAAAAGGGACCCTTCGGATGGCATGGGGGCTGGATCTTTCAGAGGGGGAGTCCACTCTAAATTTTGACGTAATCTAAGGTTAGAGAATTCGGTTGTTATGTAATCTATGAGTCCAACCTTAACTTTTGACGTAATATTATCTTAGAGAAGTCGGTTGTTATGTAATCTATTGTGACATACCTTCCGATTGGATGACGAGTCGTAAGGGTTCGTTTTTCTTGCCATATATGGAAGATTTTCCTGATTACTGTGAAGCCCTATGGACTTCTTCACGCCTGGATTAGCATTGTTGGTATTACTGACTGGGTTATTAGCCGATATATTTATTGCGTGGTGGTGGTGATGTGGTTTCTGGACATAGTTATCCCATAATTGGGCCACTAGCTCTGAAACTATAATACTATTCGTGTTTTTGCTGAGCAGTCGTATCATAAACACGCCATCGGGCCGAAGGTACAAATTGACGAAACGCTTGCACATTTTTTTGTCTTCTGCTGTATTGTATCGATCCATGTATTTGAGGTGTTTTTTGATGTAGCCCAGCCGGTCGTTGAAGCAAATAGTTCGGACTACCCACTCGAAAAAATTAACCAGAGTGGCAATTCCGACAAATATGAGCCAAAACCAAATGAAAAGGTAGATTTTTTCGTTGAACAAATTGATGCTGAGAACACATTGCACAGTAAATGATTGTACGTTTCCTAAACACACAAAGACACGCATTAGTAAAACCGGATAGAGTGGAGTGGGGGGGGGGGGTGTAATTTTTTCGATCCCAGAAGGACCGAACGCCCAACAAACAGACTTTAGTATCCGAACACTTGAAAGAATTCAGCTGAAAAAAAAATTGGACAGTTTTGAACGGTTCTAGGACGGCAATGGGCTGAAAAATTCTTCGGAGTCGGTTCTTCTAATGTCAGAACAGCCCCCAATAAAAATGGAAGCAAGAAGCTTACCCGCACTGACAAAAATGGAATGGGATCGATTTTAGTATGAAAAAAGTACGTTGATTAAATTTAAATCGATTTTAGTATGACAAAAAATTACGTTGATTAAATTTAGATCGATTTTAGTATGAAAAAAGTACGAAGATTAAATTAAAGAGATGAAGATTGATTTGGATCGATTTAAAATCGATTTAAATTGATCTTAAATCCCAGCTAAAAAAATTGATCCAAATCGATTTTGAATCAATTTAAATGCATTTTTTCCAGTCTGAATTTATTTTCATTTTTAAGGGGATTAAAACGGATTTAAATCGATTTAAATCGATTTTTTTCAATCGAGTTTTATCAGTTTCAAAATTTTATTGCATTTATTTCTTGCCTATCATTTTTTCATTTTACATCCATAGCGTATTGTAGCATAAAAAGACCAAATAAAAAGACCAAAATATCGATAAAACTCTAACCCTTTTCTTGATTAGTTTCATAAGTTGTTGCTTAAAATCTGATTTACTTTCATGATTTTCTATGATTTTATTGCATATTATTGAGATCACAATTTAATTTTACCTAACCCTTTTCTGGTTTGTTACACAATACTTTGCCCATAATCTGATTTACAATGGTTTTCTATAATTTTATTCAAATTTTTCAATGGTTTTCAAATTTTTGAGTTTAAAACCTGATTTATGTGGATCATTTTATTGAATTCTATAATATCTGGCACGAGTGTTTATGTTTAAAAATCGAGAATAAAAAATGGCAACAATTTTTTTGAAGGGTAAGTTTTTTTCGCCGTGTTAGCAAAACATCGATTTTAATGTGTCGGAAAATCCATCGAAATCGATTTAAATCGATTTTTTAGACTCTTAAATCGATTTAAAATTTTCAAAAAGATCGAATTAAATTGATCTAAAATGGATTTAAGTGAGATTCGGATGGATTTTAGTGAGTCGGAAAAACCATCGAAATCGATTTAAATCGATTTTTTAGACACTTAAATTGATTTAAAATTTTCAAAAAGATCAATTTAAATCGTTTTAAAATCCATTTAAGTTCGTAAAATTTACATGGTTAATCGATTTGGATCGATTTAAAATCAATTTAAATCGACCGGAAACCATTTCTGTCAGTGCGGGTATAGTTACTCATTGATTTTACATAAATAATAAAAATATATATTTTTTCACTTATCGTTGGAATCAAACTTGATATAAAATTTTTGATCGGAAAAAATATGCCGATTTCTTTTTGACAAAACGAACAAAATTTGCTGATATAAAACTATCATTAAAAGTCAAAAGAATTGCTTTTGTGCTAGCATCATTTTGGCTCTGCCTAACATCAAATAGTAATAGTGAAAAAAGACTGCTTGTATATCAGCCCTGAACGTTCCGACTGCACTTTAAGGACAAATTGTTTTTTTTAATTCATTTTCCCAAAGGCTAACGTGAACTACAAAAAGATGTACTTAGCTTTTGTCCTGATTATAAGACCCTTGCCTCAATTCATTCAGAACCAATTAAACAGACGCTTGAGTGTTTTACGAAAACGCAACACATTGCGCGTTAATTATCTTAAATAGGCCAAAAAAAACTATTTTTAAACCCAATTTGTGTAATGATAAATGATAAATCAATGTTAGTTTGTAATGTAATTTTAATACTAGTTGAAATACCTTTAAGCGTCAGTATTTTAGATAGATTCATCGCTGTACAATGCCTATAATTAGTAAGTTTTCAACCATCTTTTTTGCAGCTGTTTCGATGTTCTAGTTTTTTCTACGAAGCTTGATTTTAAGTTACAAACTTTACGAAGTACACTGCAATCATTTTCTTTTTCCTCTGACGACAAGCATGTTTGCCTAGAGCGTAAATTGTAAGAATCTTATCACTAGCCCTTGTAAATTTTTTGGTTCTTCATGTAAATGAAAACTATTTTCAATAAGTTGCGGCTTCCTAACGGAAACAAGAATAGTGACCAAGCGTTTAATTTTCTTTAGATTCATTTTGACTAGTCGACCATTACAGCATTACTTTTTACAAAAACTTTGCAATCAGTCAAATAAAATTTTTATCGGAGAAGAGACTTTGCCAAAAACTTTGCCTTCGCCCAGTAAAAGAAAAACAGGAAAACCCTTTTTCAATTGATAATCTGATAGGTAAGTATATTGGTCTTCACTTTCTTATAAAACATCTGAAAGTGATTAAATGAAACGTGATCAAAGATGAACCGCAATCCCTCAAAATTAAAAATTTTGGCATTCTCAACGCCTAGCCTTGAAATTTTTGACTGAATTCACAAATTAACCTATAAAACACAAAGACTCCACTCTCTGTAAATTGCTTTCGACGGAAAAAATGAATATAAAAAGGGCTGTAAGCTGTGTAAGTATTTTTATCTTCACTTCGATGTGCCAAAAATTTGAAGCCTGAAAGATTACAGCCAAATCTGGTTTCAATGTTAGAAAGAAACTCAATAATTTCGAATCATAATTAAAACTCCATAATAACTTCATAATAGTCTTGAGAAAAAAAAGAAAAAATTGCGATGTTAGATTTTTCAGAAATCCGATACTATCTAAAAACCAAAACTGTCAAAAAATGATCCAAGGTTTGGTGTTTTTTCACACCGACGAATTTCACAAAAAAATCTGAAAAAAGCTGTAATAAATAAACTAAGGTTCAAAAAACGACACCAAAAATAAAAACCAAAAATACCAAACTTGACAAGAAAGGAACCAGAAGATCCCAGTATCAAGAGCCAAATTACATATGCTAATATTTGGATACTAAAAAATCTCATTTTTATAAAAGATACTCAAAAATTATATGTGTTTAGAAACTTCAAGGTAAATTAAAATTCACGTTCACTAAGCTCAAATAAACTGGGGATCAGTCTTCCTTTTTTATAAAGTGTTCGCAGATAGACTCAAATAAATGGGATCAGTCTTTCTTCTATAAAAAGTGTTAGAAAAAAATATATTGCCGTGTATGATGTGTTTAATTGAAAAATGTTAAATAAACTCAATGGCAAAATTAAATCTTAAAAATTTTAGTTTTGAAGGCTATATTTGGTAAATCGTTTGAAACTCGTCATAAATAAAAAAAGTCTGAGAAAAGTTATTAAACTTTCTTGATCAATACAAAAAATGAATTTATGGAGCCAAAAAAGGCAGTTAGAGATCTTGAGAGAATCTAACAATCAAGAGATAACCATCAATTACGTAAGCAAGACTGCTCGTATTTAAGGCGAAGCTCTGAATGATCCGACGCTTTTTTGAAGTGTCTCAAATAAATGTTGTTTAAATTATTTTAAAAAGCAAACAAGACTGCTCTTATCAGTGCAGATTTCAGAATGTACAGAATGCCTTTTAATGTCTACAGAAGAATTTTCGTTTAAAGACGTTTGCAGAAAAATTTCAAAAAAAAATTGTAAAGTACTTTTGAGATTATTTTGAAAACGTTTGACTGCTCGTATCAAGACGATGCATTGAATGTCTGACTGCCCTTTAAAACAATATATATATATATATATATATATATATATATATATATATATATATATATATATATATATATATAAACTGTTTGAAAAATTATAAAACGATTGGAAAATTCAAATATTTCGCCTTTTTTATATTTTTTTATATTCCCAATTTATACTTATTTTATACTCTCCTTCGCTTTATATAAAGTACAGAATGAAAATTTTTTTGACTATTAACGCAATAATAAGGGCAAATTGCTTGCCTCTATTCAAATTGGCAAAGATTTAATTAGCCGCCTACGATCAAATAGCACGCAATATATCGTGCGTTAAGTATTCCAAATTGGCATTTTTAAAGCTCCATAACTGTACAAAAATTTTTTAAATCTTTAACCAAACATGAGCTCAAAACTTAAATATTTATCAGATAATATTAAAAATTATGTAACAGGCAAGTTAAGAGTCAAATTTGGTCTGCAGAAAAAAAAACGCCCAAGTACAAACATCCAGTCACCATCTCCAGTAGTCCGAACAAAAAGAAATAATATACGGACAATAAATACAAGCGTTTTTATCGCTTATTTGCACATATCTGCGGCTTCCCTGCCTTCACCCATCATCCCATCATCCAATAAAAATTTCAAAAAAAGTGATATAAGTGGCATATACTAACACATTATTGGGATCTAATACGATAACCTATTTCAATTCGAAAGAATTTCTCAGCCAAATTAGATCAATGCAAATTTTAAAAGCGGTAACAGAAAACTTTCCCACGCATTAATTGATCAAAATGAACAATATTCCCAAGTTTCAAATGCCCATAAGTTTAAAAAAAACACAATCACAGGTAAAATAATCACTTAAACGATTCATCCACAAGCGAAAGGACCAAATACGAGCTGTTCAACCCAATACAAGAGCCGTTGTTGTGCCCCGGCTTAAGAACTACATGCTATTTTTTTGGTTATTATTCTGGGCTCAATAATGTTGCCTCACCCTCAAGCAACGAACCTGGATCATGGTAGGTCTCGAATATGCGACTTTTCGATTGAGAGGCGGGCACTCAACCAATTCACCAGGGCTCCCATTATGTTTCTCTATTCTATTGAGCCTCTTTATAAATTTCTGACGCCATAAAGTTGCCAAGAACGGTCAACTAAAGATTTGAAAAAGGAGTACCACTCAGTTTTTAACCGTCCGTCTCTTTCTTTGACAGTCGGAACAAAAAATGATTTCTCTGAATTGCTTATGAGGGATTTTCAAAA